GTGTTTCATACTCTAGTGTTATCTCTCTTCACTTTTATCAGCCATAATGGCATACTAACACATAGCCGTAACCATTCCAGTTCGAGCTCGAAATCTAATTGGACGTTGAGCTCAACTCTCAGTTGAGTCTGACTAGAGCATTTAAAGTTTGTCGCACAGCAAGAGCTCATCATTGATGATGTTCGAACCGAGCTCCAATTGGATTTCAAATTGGACTCAAGTTGTTTAGTCAATGATTCTTTTGTAGCAGACAAATGTTGCTCATATTTTTCATCTATTTTTTTTGCGCTATAGATTCATAATTAATGATGCTGCGCAGCCTGTTAGCTCATTCTCAGCTGCGTCTTTTCCTTTATGAAGCTGATTAAGATTTAAAATATTTAAAAAGAAATAAAGACATATAAATATATACATATACATGTATGTGTCTCAGGCATTTGACACACTTACGCTTAACAGCAAGTCCAGAGAGCGTCGCAGTGTGTATATGTGAATGTGCATGTGCTTATATATATATATATATATCTGTGTGTGTGTGTGTGAGCCGGCTTTTTGCCCGCTCTCAGTTGTCACAATTGCTGTTGCTGTTGCTGCTGCGATGCTGTAACCCATTTTGCATGCAAAAACGTTTCGATTATGACGCTACATTGACTTGAATTTCTTGTTGCGCCAATTAGGGTCACAGTCTGTCTGATAAGTCAACACACCACCGCACTGCATAGCATGCCAAATTGTATTGAAATCCAAACCAAAACGAAAACCCAAACCCAGACCCAGACCCAAAAACCAAATCACAAATCAACTTTAAGAGTCACGCGCGCTCAGTTACGTTCGCTCTCGACTCATTCTCTTTGTAGCAGGTGCGCCCCAAAAAATAAATAAAAAAATAAATAAAAAAGGAAAAAATAGATAAAAATATTTAATGCTCATGCAGCAAACACGTTGAAGCATTCTTTGCATATTTTATGAATAGCTAAATCTCTCCCTCTCCCCATCTCTCCCATTCTCTCTCACACGCTCTCGCTCTCTTTTATGTGACTCCACTGAGCCATGGAGTTGCGTAAAGGTCACAATTTACTAGATTGCGGAGCATAACGAACGATACTTCTTAGAGCTGTTGTCTGGTGTGAGAATGAAGAATATTTGTCAAGCATTGTTCAGTTTCAATGGCATAGCTCTACCTAGTTAACATATTTATTATTAACAGAGAATAGGAAATTGAGAGCGGGAAACTAATTTAAATTACTAACTAATTTAAATTATTTGCTGATTTAAACAATTTATTAATTATATAATAAAAGATGTAAATCTAAATATTTCTATACGTATATCTTATATCCATATAAACTAATATATTGTTATGAGGCATAGACTTAACTTAGTTATATATTATATATTTATTTTATTTTATTATAGTTTCTATTGAGTAATATTATGGATAAATTATTATTATATATATATATATATTTTTTTTTTATACATAATAAATAGATCCCTTTGTGGGGAAGATGAGTTTTGCTGAAATATTTCGGAATATATACGTCTTTCTAGCTCCTCAACCGGTATAGATTTAACCACTCATATGCATTCATTCTCGGCCAACTGACTTTATATTCTAAATTTCATGTTTCTATGCGAACAAGCAATAGGATAGCAAATCGGACAATGACCTGAAAACTAATACACTCCAAACACTCCGTGAACGAGCATTTAATTGATTGAACTGAGATATATAAAACATCTCTTGAAATATCTACTCTGATTTTTTAATTTTCTTATTTTAACACTGTCCACTGCTTAAGTTCATTGCTTTATCGCTGCTTCTGTTCTGCTACTAATAACAGCTTCCACACACTCGACATCATCTGAGCTACTAACTGATCGACTATCTTGGCCATTAACAAAGCAAATGTTAGCCCTAATAAATTACCCAGCTTAGAGCAAAGCAGATTATGCCAAACTCCATAATTAAGAGACAGTCAGACGAGCAGAGAAAACACAACAGGCAGCAGCGCGCTCTCCACAGTTATGTTAACAGCAACAGACTCACTTTGTTAACTCGGCAACAGTTAACAGCGCTGTTGTTGCTCGCGGCAATTTCACATCGTTTGTGGGGTTTACTAACTTTTAACGATTGTCGGAAGAATACTTCAGCGCACTTGAGTGTCGAATCATAAAAATGCGAAACGTCTGCAAATAATAGAGCCACAAAGAGCAAGTAAATTAATAACAAAAGGAAAAAAGACAACAAAAAAAAATTAGAAAAAAATTACAACAACAGAGTAGAAAAACGAAATCGTTTATAAACTTGCGGACGAAATGAAGAAATATAAATCTTAAGAAAAAAAATTAAATAAATAAATGAAATGAAATGAAATGACCAAGTCAAACAAAACACTATCACTTTTCGCAATTATGGCTTTTTTTGTCTTGTGTTTATTTCGTGCGGTTGGTGTTGGAGTTGGAAGCTACGGGCGCTACGTACTGGACATTCTAATTGGAGTTTTTGCTGTTGGGCCTCTGATAACTTATTCGCTTTACGTGTTTACTTTCACTTGAACTTCATTTACTCTTGGCTTTATTAAAACGTTTTGAAGCAGGAGCTGCAACAACAGGTTTGCTTTAAAGTTGCCCCGCGTTGATGGGCTGAAGAAAATCAACAATTGTCAATAAAGTTCGATTGAGCAATGGTGAATTTAATAATGGGAGTTTATATTTTCTTATCTTACTTATGGGCAGTACTTTTAAATAAATCTATACTTAGTATAAAGTACACTTAGTAGGAAAAGAAGAAGAGTTAAGAAGGGTTACGAGTTTATAATCTGATAAAGGCAGGGGGACGAATCATGGACAGCTTTGGATATGCTAAGTACAGAGAAGTTTCGATTTCAGAGTGAGTCGAGAGTTAGCAGAAGTCTCCGGTTAGAAACGAGCCCTAGAATGAATCTCAGCAATTTATATGTAGAATATATCGAGCTATCTCTCTCTCTCTCTCTCTTTCTCACTCTGTCTTTTTTTGAGTTCCTTGCCTATTAATATTTAGATAGCATCTTAAGAACTTAAACAAAATGAGGTTATGCCACCAAACCGAAGTATGCTTTATAATTATGATGATAAAAGGTAGAAGATGAACATATTTTCAATTCAAGGTATACAAAAAGAGTCAAATATTTTTATAAAAAGTATAAAATTAAAAAGAAATTATATATTTTTATATAAAAAAAAAAATAAGAACAATTTTAACTTTATCATCTCAAGAGTTACTCCAAAATTACTTTTAAGTTTTACATGCAATGCAACAAATTCTTTATAGTTCACGGAGCCCCTGCTATATAAGGCTATATAAGCAATACCCAATAGAAAACTTTCTTATGCTCATGATTAACGTTCTTTCACCAAATAATTAAAATATTAAACAAACACAAGAGTTTTTGCTCGTTCAATTCTAAACACTTTCAGTTCTTCTCACTGATTGTCAATTAATTTGTTTATAATTCTTTAAAAATGATTGTTGCCTAGCATTCTAATTAGCTTTCAGACGGTTTCCGTTTCCAAACCCAAAGGCTTTGGGCGCTTCAATCGACAATCGACAGTCGAGAAATGGCAATCGGAGTCAGGCAACTGTAAATAATTGGTTTAGCTAGCGAAAATTAGATAGTTGAGAGTGGAATTCTTGAAATGAAAGTGACATTTTTTTTGGGAAACCATAAACCGAGCATTTAATTGCGTTATGAAGTAGCCGCAGCAGCTCCAAAACGGCTAAAAGTCGCTAAAAGCAGCTCAGAAAATAATAATAAAAAAAAATCCAAAGCCAGAAACTCAATTAACATGAGAAGCAAGCAGCATTGGCAATTGGGGCCAGACGAAAGGCAGTTGCCAAGTGAAAGTGCGCAAGTCGTTGCCGTTGCCGTTGCCGCTGCCTTTGCCGTTGCAATGTCAAAGTTCAAAGCCAACTTTAAGCTGCTGTTGCTGCCAGTGGTGCGGCTGGTGGTGCGGCTGTTGCACTCTTTGGTGTCTGCTTTCCAGCTCATTTGGCAAATGATGTCGCGCGAGGCTGCATTCAACCCACTCAGCTCATTAGCAAATTGAAAGCGAGTTGCAACTCACTTGACATTTGGCCGTTTATTGATTTGATTGCCTGCTCTGAAAACTGGCACCGGGTCTCACTTGATTTTGGCAATTAACACCTCAAGCGTCGGCTCGATGCTCCACTTGCCGGCTGCGTGCTCCCATTTCCAAAGAAGCTTGTCAAAGTTTGGGTTTTTCGGTTTTCGGGTTATTTTTTTTTTTTTTTTTGAGAAATTGGAGCAGCTGCGAGTGCTAGATTCTTTGGCTAACCAAAATCGTTTTTTTGTGTGGTCGCAATCAATTAACAATTAAGTTGCTAATTAAATGAAAAACAAGCACAATTACATTTACAGCTAGCCCATAAAACGCTAGGCAACCAAAGCCAGTAAACAACTCTATTGATAGAAGAGAGCTTGTCCTGATTGAATGAACGAATCGAATGGCCATGACTAACTAACTAATGGCTTGGATGAGTGGAGAGAATGAATGCCTAAGACTAGAGTGGTAAGGGTTAAGGTTGAAGGTGAATGGGAAGAGCTGCTAGATTGATTGATTGGGCAATGAATATATTGAGAGACAGAAGATCCTTTTTTACGAAGATATGACAAGATGGAAGTCCCTTATTTCCATGAAGAGATAGGACATCAAAGTTGCAGAATAACTAGAAAGACGATAATAGTCATCTTATTGGGTTCAAGTAGATCTTTAACAAAAAAGCTAACAGATAATACTCTAACTAAATATATACCTATGAAAACACTAGAACAACTCAAGTCTAACTCAAATAATGAAGCTAAGATAGAAGTTAAGGACTCTCTTTACTCGCTCCTATAGACATATCTCAATATCGCCCTTAATATAATATGCTTTCGATATCATTTCTAATTCTCCCTTCTCCATCTCTCTCTCTCTCCCTCTCCATCTCTTCGCAGCTGGTCGTAAGCTGTTTGGCGGCTATCGCATTACGCCCAAACATTGTCGCGCTACCAAGACGCTGCCCAGCTCGGATCCACGCTCCAATGGCCCCACCATTTGCATGTTCAATCACGAGTGCGCGCAACGAGGCGGCGAGGTGGTAGGCGCTTGCATGGATGGCTTTCTATTTGGTGCCTGCTGTCAGATACCGCATACCCATGAGTTGGCCAGCACGCTGATCAATGATGCACAGAATGCGTACTTCCAGCAGCAGCAGCAAAAGCAACAACAGCAGCAGCAACAACAACAACAGGCAGCAGCGCAGTCCTCCTATGAGAACTATGGAGAGCAGCAGCAGCAGCAACAGCAGCAGCAGGAGCAACAGTATCAACAGCAGCAGCAACTGCAGCAGCAGCAGGAGCAACAGTACCAACAGCAGCAGCAACAGCAGCAGCAGCAGAAGCAACAGTACCAACAGCAGCAGCAACAGCAGGAGCAACAGCAGCAGCAGCAGGAGCAACAGTACCAACATCTCAATGATGAGCAGCCCGCACAGAATCAACAGAATCTGGATAAGGTCTATCAGCAGCTGGGCAGCACTGTGAGTCTGGGTCAGAGTGTGCAGCCTGCCGCACAGGACGAGCTGAGCTATGCCAGCAGCTCCACAGAGGCAACCAATTCACAGTCAGCCAGCGTGGAGTTCGAGCAGGAGGCGGAGCTGCAGACGAACAACGATGCGGTCAACTCCAATGAGGTGAAGCCCACGGATCAGCCACCGTCCATACATGTGCACAAGCATTCCGTGAAGATCAATACGTTCTCATCGCCGCCAAACAATGATGATTTCGTCATGCAGGTGCTGGCCACGCTGCCGCCGGAGCATGTGGATGACATTGTGACCTTTACCACGGAGGTGCCCAATAAGATCTCCAACGGCCATGTGGAGCACAGCAGCTCCGAGTCGAACAGCTTCGAGGAGATTGCAGCCACCAAGGCGCCAGTTAGCACGCCCAGGCCGAAGCCGCAGCCCAAGCCGCAGCCCAAGCCGCAGCCCAAGCCACAGCCGAAGCCTCAAGCGAAGCCCCAAAACAAGCCCCAATCAAAGCCTGTGCCACAGCTGGCCGAGGTCATGAAGCGACCTGTGCAGCAGGTGAAGCCCAAGCCAAAGCCCGCCAATCTGCATAATCACAATCATTTGATACTGGATGGCGGCGAGTTCACGCACAGCGATATAACGCATCCCGGTGCTGATGCGGATCTCGTCGAAGATCTGCAATTCTCCACGGGCTATGGACCACAGCCAGTCTATGTGCAGCCACCAAAGGAGCAGCAGCAGCAGCAGCAGCAGCAACAGCAGCAACAGCAGCAGCAGCAGCAACAGCAGCAACAGCAGCAATCGCATCCTGCCTCTCAGTCCTACATCTCGTCCAGCAGCACGCAGCCCACCGCCGCAGCGGATGATAAATATATTCTGGTGCCCACCTACAACAATGAGAAGCGACCCGCTACCGTGATGCAGAGCAATCCCACCACTGTCTCGTCGATCACCACGCACGTGGACTCCATTGAGTCGATCATACTGCAGCTGAACCACAGCAGCCATGGACCCAGCTACAATGTGGTTAGCCAGCAGACGCCGTCATACAACTTTGCACCGCAAGCCGAGCACAGTGAGCCAGCGGCTACGGCTCAGCCGTCCAGCTACTATCAGCAGAACGAGAACGAGCAGCAGAACGATCTGACCAAGTCGCAGGAGGTGGAGCAGCAGCAGGAGTACGGCTATACGACCGAGTTCAGCTATGACAAGCTATCCGGCGAGCAAGACGTTTCCACGAATAGTCAGTCCGCCGAGCTGCCCACGCCGCGTCCCACCTACAGCGATGATCAGTCCGCCGTACTCGAGGAGCATACAATGCCCGCTACGAGCTACAATGATGCCATGTCGCCGCAGGCTCCCCACACCTCGGAGTTCAACAAAATGCCCGTCATGGGCATCGCCTATCCCGTGGATATGTCCTACATGGAAGGCGACTCGAATCAAGCGGACAGTGAGCCGTCCGGCTATGGACAGCTGAGCAGTGCATCGCTCGAGGGAAATACTGAGATGAACTTTGAGAAGATTACGAACAGTTATACCGAGGCGCCCCAGCCTTCACCCGCTTATGTGCGTCCATCAAGCGGCAATCGTCCGGTGGCATCCTACATCGGCATGGTCACCATGCAGCACTACAATGATGAGCTGCCCCCCGAGGTCTCAGTCTCCTCACACACCACCAAAGTGCAGGAGCAATACGATGAGACCTCCTCCGGCTATCAGCAAACCGAGAAACTGGTCACAGCCAGCCCAGTGCCCACGGCCAGCTACCTGGCTGCCACGACAACGACGCAGGCCCAGCGTCCTCAATACGATAGCCACCAGGAGAGCTCCTCATTACGTCCCGTTTTGATAACAGCCAGCCCCAAGCCACGCCCCAAGCCCACAACAAAGCGTCCGCCGCCGCCCAAGAAACCGGCAACGCCTGCAACGATCATCAAGAAGAAGCCGGTGCAGAGCGAGCAGAACACGCGCAGACCGGCTCAGCCCAGCAGCAGCTACAACACCGAGGAGTCACCCGTTACCCACATACAGATCAAACAGCCTGCGGGCAATTACAACCAGCAGCAACAGCAACAGCAACAGCAGCAGATGGAATCCGGTTATGGACAGGCTCCGATTCAGAGCTATGATCAACCTGCAGCAGTTTCCAGCTCCGGCTATGGTCAGGAGCAGCCCGCTATGCCCACTGTCAGCTACGACCAATCCTCATCGGCTTCTGCTCCAGGCTACGATCAGTCTGTCACGCCTGCAATCAGCTACGATGAGCCAGCCTCTCCAGCAGCTAGCTACGATCAGCCAGCTCCAGCTCCAGCTCCTGCACCTGCGCCAGCTACATATGCCGAGTCCGCTCCGTCGGTGCTCAACTATCACGAGCCGGCGGCCAGCTCGCCCACGCGCAAGCCCGTCTCCTCGAAGCCCATCTCCACGAGCTACGTAACAGGCCCGACCACTCCGCGTCCCCCAGCCACTGTGGACTATCACTACGACAAGGTGCCGCCGCTGTTCATGGCCGATGACAAGCTCGATGCATTCATACAGAGCACCGCCGAGAATATCTTGGGCTCGACGCCGGGCAACTACCAGGCGCCGCTCTATGCCACCGCCTCGACACCCATCCACATACAGCAGCCCACGAGCAACTATAATAGCCACAAGAAGCCCGGCTTTGTGCAGATCAATATAACGCCCAAGCCCTCCAAGCCGACGGTGTTGATCACGCCCAAGCCCACCACCATCAATGTGGTGCCAGCCAACAGCTGGGATGACACGAAGCTCGGCTCGACCACCTCCAACTCGTACATCTATGGGCCAGTGGGAACGCGACGTCCCGGCAATACGCCGTCTGCGGTAAGCTCGAATGACTTTGAGGATCCGGGCTACTTCGGCATGCCCGCTGCTAGCAGCAGTCCCGTGCACCTGACCTACACACAGTCGACCACTGAGGCGATGTACGGTGTGCCCTCGGATGACAAGCCCGCCTTTCCGGGTTACTATGGGCCGACGCCCACATATCCGGCATTCTCGGTGCCCGGCGAGAAGGTGGGCCAGGTGGTCGAGGAGACGTACACCTCTCCCAATGATTTCGTCAACTTCCCGCCGGTGCGCAATCCGAATCTAAACATGTCCGCCGCCTCGAGCGCCGTGACCAGCGATCTGGAGCTAGCCACGCCCTCCTTTGTCGAGGACACGGTGCTTAAAGACAAGATGCACACGCTCGTCCACAAGCTGGTGGCCTCATTGCAGGGCAACTTCGAAGCGCTGGCCGACATGATCGACGAGACGAACAACACAGCATCCACGTACTCCTCCGGCTTGGTGAGCACCACCAATGTCAACAAGAAGACCACACGCAAACCTGTGCGCGTCGCCACCACCTCAAAGCCGAAGGCAACCACCAAGAAGCCTGTGACTCGAGTCTCCACCAAGGCGCCCAACAGGAAAGTTCCGACTACTACCACACGGAAACCGGCAACGCGTCGCCCCAACACCACAACGCGACGTCCCAGCTCCAAGAGGCCAACGAAACGTGTCACGACGACAAAGACCACGGCCCGACCCATCAGCGACGACGAGTTCACCGATGAGGAGGACGAGGAGGATGTCAATCCGAGTCCGCACGAGAACGAGATCGAGCAGGGAACGCTGAGCTCTTACGGTGGTGCCAACGGACGCAAAATACGTAAGTGTTGAGTGTTTGTAGCCTGGACCCCGAAAACAAACTGTCTATCTATCTCTATTCTTTGTTTTCTCTCTTGTCTCTAATAATTCATGCACACATTACGTTCGTTAACCCTTGCCAACTAAATCGATTAATACCATCCAATAAATATCCATCCCTGCATTTTCAATCATTTCATAAAAAATAAAAAATAAAAAAAAAAATAAAACTATAGCACGTCGTCGGCTCAAACGGCCTGTCCACAGGCATCGCCATCATTGAAACCATCCATACGCTATCCACATAGTCACATAGCTAGTTCTTAGTAGCCTAATGAAACCCAATTTCCCTAGTCCCCGATCCACGTAAAGTAGCCTAGTTAGACTCCATTCCCTTTCCCTGATCCGTTTCTTGCCTCGTCCCGCAATGATTTGTCCCCCCGTTTCTCTCTGTGTAACTATTTTTCTGGCTGTTCGTCAGTTGCTCGCTCGCTCACATTTGATACAATCGTTCGTTCGCTCTCACTCACTCACTCGCTCGCTCGCTTTGTGAACACTCCCTACTCCTAACCTCACATTTCACTCCCCATCAACAGAATGCGGCGTTCGTCCACATGTTAAATCGGGTCGCATTGTCGGCGGAAAAGGCTCCACATTTGGCGCCTTTCCCTGGCAGGTTCTAGTACGCGAATCCACCTGGCTGGGACTCTTCACCAAGAACAAATGCGGCGGCGTTCTAATCACTAGTCGCTACGTCATCACCGCTGCCCATTGCCAGCCCGGGTAAGTTGCTAAGCTAAACTGAGTTTTCTTGTTTATTTAATTTTTGCTCTACTTTAGTTTTCTGGCCTCTTTGGTCGCTGTCATGGGCGAGTTTGATATCTCTGGGGATCTGGAGAGCAAACGTCCCGTTACGAAGAATGTGAAACGCGTCATTGTGCATCGTCAATACGATCCGGCCACGTTTGAGAACGATCTGGCACTGCTCGAAATGGACAGTCCCGTGCAATTTGATACGCATATAGGTAAGTGAGGGGAGGGATTTATGGGTATAACCATGGGGTGATGTTGTACTAAATTAAATATGTGTAAAGAAATGAAAATTTAATGCTTTTAAAATCAATTCCTCTTGCCTGAGACCCTTAAATTTACTGTTCTAGTCGTATAATTAAATAACGCCATATTGTCAAACTCTCCTATTTAAAATAGATGGAGCAAAAAAAGTTTAGGGATCCAGAATGCAAATAAAATATATTACATAATGTAGAAGAATTACATTATGTTGACTACATTCCACATTATGTAGTCAACATTATGTAATTTTACATTCCTCATTATGTTATTCTTCTATGTGATCAACTTTATATTAAACGCAAAATTTATCTAATCCCATTTAATAAATTTAGTTAATTATGTCTACTAGTCGGATACTCCCGACTAGAGCACAACTATTTGCTTTGGTAGAGGCAAGTCCACTGAATAACTTATCTTGTGTCTCAGCACTATATCTATAACCAGAATTGATAACTGAAAATATTGCCGATAGGTCAAGAAAAACCTGAACCTGACCTGACCTATGGGCTTGTTGGACTTGTTGGCATTTCATTCAAAAAAATAGATAAGACTTTAGACCAAGTTGCCGTCTGACGACTATCTTACTTATGTCTCATCAAAGCAATAAACAGTTCAAAGGAAGAATGCCTTCACCCCATTTAATTATATTTAAAAGAATTTCCACTTATCATGCTAATCACGCTCATCTCCCTCACAGTGCCAATTTGCATGCCCAACGATCAGGCAGACTTCACAGGTCGCATGGCAACCGTGACGGGTTGGGGTCGACTCAAGTACGGCGGCGGAGTGCCTTCGGTGCTGCAGGAGGTGCAGGTGAGTGTCTCTCTCTCTCTCTCTCTCTCTCTCTCTCGGTGTGAGCTATTAGCCCATGCTGATTGATTAACCGCTTTACGAACAACTTTTAATTGGCTTTTCGCACGCAACAGGTGCCAATAATTGAGAACAGCGTCTGCCAGGAGATGTTCCACACGGCCGGGCACAATAAGAAGATACTTAACTCGTTCCTCTGTGCGGGCTATGCCAACGGGCAGAAGGACTCGTGCGAGGTAAATGCCGCCATTAGCTATTTCGAAACTTTTTTAATCAACTCTTTTGGCAGGGTGACAGCGGCGGTCCTTTGGTTCTGCAGCGTCCCGATGGACGTTACGAGCTGGCTGGCACTGTATCGCATGGCATCAAGTGTGCGGCGCCTTATCTGCCGGGTGTCTATATGCGTACCACATTCTATAAGCCGTGGCTGCGCAGCATAACGGGTGTGAAATAAACCACGCTCACACTCACACACACGCACACACACACACATTGAAACTGTATATAGAACAAATAGTTTTTAGAGGACTTTGCCGTGGCGAAATGACCTATCGATATATGTACATATATTTATAGATATTTATATTGGATATTTAATATAAATATATGTATATGTATGTTCATAGGCAGCAGCGTCGCTTTCACAAAACTCATAAAATGTCATCCACAAAACTCTTCCTTCCCTTAGTTTAATATGAGAAATTGCAGCGACTGTCAAACTGTGCAAAATTTCCGTTGCCTACTTTCAGGCGGCCACTGAAAATCATTCAGAGCTCGAGCTTATCTGCCCTCTCCCTCACACACTCCAACTCCATTCCTCATACGCAATACTAAGATTAAGGCATATTTATTGTAATCGCTAAGCTTATTTATTTATTTATTTAATTTATATTTATTATTGCCGTTTTTTTTAACGAAACCTTCACTTATCTTTGATTCAGCTAAAAAAAAATTGTTAATTTTCATAGGCAAATTGTTGTTATGTTAAAATGCAAATATGCGAGTGCGAGAGCGCGAGAGAGAGAGAGAGAGATAGCGCATATGTTTTTAGTTCAATTGAATTTATTAATTAATTTAATTTATGCTAAAACCCAATTGATATATGCTATATCTGATTGATATTGATATATAACATATTTATTTATATTTATATATATTTATATGCAAATTTAAGCGTACAAAAACGAACAAAGCGAAATCCATAAACAAAAATATGACGAAATAAACGAGAGTAATCTAAAATAGTAAATTATAATTAATTGCATTTATTATTGTGGAAATGGAAATTCGGTTGAAATTCTCAGTATTATCATTATCTTGAATCGAGCTGTAATATTATTATATCCCCATCTGTATTATATTATAATCTTTTCGTAAACCCATTCCCTATGCTGCTTCTCAAACTCTTCAATTCATCGAGTCTGTGTTCAATACTATATTTAATTCATATAGCTCCTGCATATTACAGTTAGCTCCCATAGCTACAATCAATTTCATATGCCACGAAATATCTTAATGAAACCCCAGCTCAGGAGCCAGTTAACCCAGCTGCAATAATTCCCAGTGCCGCACGGAAACACGGAATCACGGAAACACGGCAAATCCATTTGTAGAAGCGCACATATTAATAAATAACAGCAACGGCAATATTCCGCTGAGAATCAAATCATGTTAAGTAAAATTGGATTTCACAAAACATGAAAAAAATAAATAAAAATAAAAAATTATATTAAAATAAAATCCAAAGCGGGCGCAATCAAAGTGCAAAGGTGAGTGATGCGAACGAACAGGATGCAAGTTGTGCGGCCGCTTTAAGCAGCAGCTAGTTGAAGCAATTTCCGCTTGAAAATAAGTATTTGCAACTGCAATTGGCAGCTTGACTCCCCCGCAGCTGCAGCAGAGCATATGCCATGCGGCAAGCAACAAGGCCAGGCCAGACCAGGCGAAGCATCTAGATGCCTTCCGAGTGCTTTGTGCAATCTACTCTGCTAGCCGGCAACTCTCGATGGCACACGGCTGTCATTGGCATTGGCGCAGCTGTCGAAGGTTAAAAGGATAAGGCCAAGAGCAAGGCCGAACAGCCAACAGTTCTACATACACACATACATAGCTACATACGTGCTTGTACAACATGGCGTATACGTCATGCGGATAATACTTCAAAGCGTTTGCGCCCCAATCGATCGGCATTTCAACTTATTTTTGGCTTGCTTTCTCATTTTCTTCTTTTATGTTGATTTTCAGTTAAATTTCAAATGGGTTCGGCATGAAAAAATAAAATAAAAATAAAAATTGTTATCACGGTTGAGCGCTTGTCAAAGCATACGCTCAGATGCCTACAGGGTGCTCCAGGTGTGGTTATATAAATAATAATGTGCTGTGGGTATTTAAGGTTGTATATATATTTAGGTACAGATTTGGTTTAAAGTTGGTAACGGAACAGGTACATATACACACATACGATACCATGACTCCAGAGTTCAGTTATTTGTAGGCAAATGAGTCCATCTTCTAAGCTCGGATCTGTTCAGAAAAGTTCGCTATTGCCTAGTCAAATATACCTTGAAAGCCCCTAACTTATTTATTATTGACGAATAGAATTTTTTTTTTTTTTGCAATGCCAAAAAAAAAAGAACTTTAAATCGTATAGGAGCTATATTATACTTTATAACTTGGAATGCCGTTACTCATATGGACTTTCCTCTAAACCAACGACAGTATGAATTAGCTTTAGCAGCTTCAATTATCCTCAGCTTGAATTGTTTTCAACTAAGGTAATAAATTCTATAATTCATAAATATTTTATTTGTAGTCAAACCTAATTCTCTAAAAAACAAGATTAAATTATGCAAAAGCAGCAAAAAATTGTGAATAAAATCTATTGAATTTCGCTTCTGTTGCCGCACTGAATGTCTAAGTATTCTATTTTGAAATCTAATCAAGTAATTGCATGGTTACTCTAATTACAAATGAATTATTCTGCTTTGCATACACAAAATAAAAGAGAATTTGGCTTTGCTTTCAAATCCAATAGAATTTCTTAGCTTCAGAGCGCATTCTCAATGCTCTATAAGAAGTAATTAATTGATAAATAGTTAAAAAAAATTCTTGAGCGAAAGTAGAGTATTAAAGAGATAATATACAGCACTGAGAGTTTAGCAAGCACATAGAAAGGGAAAACATTTATTAGCATATCCGGGAAAAGTTTATTTTATAATCGAATTTCCTTCTGCCAGACCAGCTCAAGTCTTTCTAGAGTATTGAATATTTTACCTTAGCCGTATTTAAGCATTGTTGAAATGACAGCCCGCAGTGATTTCTTGTCAGTTGACAACAATATTTGGCAGGCTTATCAAATATTTGGGCAGGCAACAAGCTGGAGGCAGCCAGAGGATGAGCTCGCTCCAGCTGCTGGCTGTGACGTCATTGGGGCAATGCAGAAAGGCTAGGTACATAAATGAATGTAGCCTTTCATTGATTCCATAGGCATCACACACACACACACACCCACAGCGAAAGCTTGCTTTGTGCTTTTAATTCATAAAAATGTTCGCAGAGCTGGCGAAAAAGCTTGCGGCAAAAGCTCTTCTCCGCCTTGTAGCAGCCAGCCGACAGGTGTTGGCCGACAGTCGCTGAAAGGACACACAGGCAGCAGGTACATTTAGCTAGTAAGTTAAGTGAGCATGTGTGTGGGCGGCTGAATGTGTGTGTGTCTATGGGTGTGAGTGTGTTTGTTGTGTTTGCTATTTGAAGTTATGTGCGAAGTGTAAGAAATTGTGGCCCGCTGCAATTAGCAGCTGCATAAATAATTATAATTTATGAAAGTGTGTGTAATCAAGTATCTCTATAAATATATATATATATATATGTGTGTGTGTGTGCAGGTGCGTGCTATTAATGCGCTGACATAATTAACTTTGTCAACTTCATCAAAACTCGCCTAACAATAATCAACTTGACAGCATATTTCTTGACGACATGTGTAGGCGTGTCAAACACACACAACACACACACACACACAAACACCTGTGTTAAGCCCTAATGAGCATTGCCGTTTATTTTGCTTACGTTAAGTTAAGTAAATCATCAAAATTGTCCATTTCACTTTGGCTTTTATGTCCTGTAAATAGCCATATACCTTTCCTCATTCCCTCTCCCTCTCTCCCTCTCTCCCTCTCTCTCTCTCTCGCTGCCTTTTTGTTGTCAAATAAAATAACTTGTTGTCAACCGGCTGTCAAAAGTTGGAATTTCTCGCCCAACTCCTGACAGTATGTAAATAGTGCAAGTTTTAGTTGTCACAACTCCTGAATATTTGTTTCTATATCTGCAGAGAAAGGGAACGGGAATAGTTGGGTTATGAGAGATAAGTTAAAGTTAAAGTTAAGCTTGGACTAAGTTTTGAATGAAAGGGAATGTCACAGCTAGATTTAATTAAAAGATTTGCTTAAAATATTTGTGATTTGAGCACAGATGAAACTCAGATACAAAACATTTACTAATTAGAAAAGTTGAAGCTATATGAAATAGAATATGTGTAATGAACGTTAAACAAAGTTAAGATTAAGTTTATATGAATTCGATAGATTGGCAAATTTTACAAATTGAAAACATATTCTAAGAGATACATTAAATCATTATAAAGGAAATACAAAATTACTATAATTAATATTATTTCTCTTTTAAAGCATCCATTATTACCTCTCTCTCTCTATCTTTGTCTGTCTGTAAACTGAATCGATTTCATTCATGTTAAATCTATATCTAAAAGAATTGTAAGCTTTTTAGTTCTTGTCTTTAATATTCCTAAAATAAATAAATTGAGTTACATAGGCACTTCTGAACCTCTTACCTGAATTTCAACAGAAGTGAGATGCCCATCCTAAGTAACCCTACTTAACTCGCTCATAAATATGAAACATTCAAAATTACATTTATACTGTAATTTCGTAACTAAAGGACAGTCTGCTCTAATAGCCAAGTAAGTGACTTGGCTTTGATGTTGAAAATAGAATAGAATTTCGTACAGATTTAATTATGAAATGTTTAACAAATTGTATTTTAATGAGTGCCGCAGCTCTCTCTCCCTCTCTCCCTCTCTGTCTCTGTCTTTGTTGAATTATTATACAATTCTGCAGCTGCCAAAAAGTTGTTACTCAAAAGTTTTCTCTCTTCGTTTTTTTTTTTTTTTTTGGGTTGCTAAAAGCAACAAAAGGTAAGAAAAAAGAAAGGTAATTAGCTCGAAAAGAGAAAAGGTTTGTTTTTCTTTTGGCTTCTGTGGGGTCTTTGGGACAGCTCTATTAATGAAATTGATTTGAGGCGTTACCCGGGTCAACATGTGCAGCCAACCCGATGTTAAATGTATTTGACTTGTGTCGTGGGCAGCTCATGACGTACCTTGACGTAGCTATATTTATAAAGTAACTAAGACTCTACCGGCCACACCCACAGTCCTTGAGAGCTGCCTCCGCTGATGATAGCCAAGCAAAATGGAAGGAAAGTGCGCACAGCTATAATCATTTGCCTAAGCGAGTGCCTGGGGATCCATATTAGTGCAACATGTATAAGCGAGAACACGCCATGGATGCGATATAGTGTATTTAATAGTTGCATGCAAGCCAGCAACATCTGTGCCCCACGAAGTATGCAACACTTTTATTTTATGCAGCAAAACTTGACCAATTTCGCTAGCTAGTTACACGAGTTGAAGGTAAAAGTGTGTGTGTGTAATGGGGTGTGGGAGAGAGAGAGTGAGAGAGAGAGAGAGAGAGAGAGAGGGAGAGAGGGGAGTATCTATAGAGTAGAATGTACATTTCGTTCTGCTCAATTGGGAACTCTTATTAGCATTTACTTTGAAGTGAAAAATGCTAAGTGAAATTTAAAAATTAAAAATAATAATTAAAAAATAATACTATATGCATACTTAAAGGATACATATATATATACTTTGTATATATAATCACGTTTATTGAAGCCATACGAGGTACTTCAGTAACCCCTTTGTGAGCTTATTGTCTACTTATTCTGCCCATTTGGGCGCGCATTCAGTACAAACAAATTCTATACTAAAACATATTTAGAAATTCAAAATATATATTCTCAATTTATGCTAACATAGACCCAAGGGTATCTGCTAGCTCTGAATTGCCAATTAACAGCAGCTTTACTTGTTGCGACTGAAAAATATGCTCACTGATAATGTCTCTTATTTACTCCTCTCTTTCTATGCCCTCTAGCTGTGCAAGCTC